ATAGAATTAAAGCAAAGTTTGCAGGACACAATAACAAAACACATAACCACATTAATTGTATTATTGTCTGACTCTACTGTTGGGTCTTGATGTCACCTGTGTAATCGGTTTTATAGATAACTTTATTTATTGTTATTATTAAACTAAAATCTCCAGCATGGGGAAGTAGGATGAGCTTGACTTTTCTCGACAACATGGACATGCCCGCAACATCGGAGCTAGCAAGTTTCATCACCAGAGAGAGCGACTATGTCATTTTAAACTCCATCTGACATGAAGTACAACAAACCAAGAGAAGAACAGAAACATCAGGCTTCTGGTCACTAACGATGAAACAACACAAATTCAAAACATGTTAACGTAGTCCGTAGAAATGCTCTAGCTAGTTTGCCATTTGTTGCCAAGTGACTGATGATAATGTTGGTGACAAGCTTTACCCAGAATGCACCTGGAGACAATAAGGACGATTCATTTGTAGTTTTGTGTGTCATAAAGTTAAATATAAGAGTGAAAATAAAGCCAGTCATGTAGCACAACATTTTATTCAATATTTTACACCGATTATGTCACTAAAATCAGTCAATCTGGTAAGGTTTTTAGCAACCATGAATCATGAGTCAACAGTCATGGCACCCTACTATATAAACTACTGGGGTATCGTACTCAGTTTTAAATAGGAGAGGGCTCTCATTTACTGTCTCATGAAATGTCAGCTGGTCCCACCAGACATTTACACAGACTGCGCGCAACTCTGACAATCTGTGACTGACATCTCTCTATGTTTATATACAGACAGAAGCACAGATAAAACCTACAACACTGGACCAAATCTAAGGCTCCAGATCATAACAGTCACCCAAAGGTTTACGCACATGCGGCAGCTCCGGGTCGGGTTGGGATCAGGAACTGGTCTGACACCTGAAAAGAGATTCTGGCTCTGATACGGTCTGTGTCTGGAACAATTCTGCCTAAAAATTAAATGAGAATTCTGTATTTGTGCCACATCTGGCCCAAATGCAGTATTTATAGAACTGTGTCGACGTTTTCTTTCTAACGGTGTTGGGATGAAAAAAAAAAAGACATGTTGCCCGTGTCCGTTATCAGTCTGGTCCAAATGCTCACCCACACTTTGCCCAGAGCAGATCATTTTTGCTCAAGTTGAAAAATAATTGCGTGAATTTTTTTTTTTCTTCCAAAAGCCAATCAGCCTTCATTATCGATGGCCACGGATGGTTTTCAGGTCTCTGGCTGTTGAAATTCATTTTTGTTTGTAAAATAAAACAGCACATTCAAGTTTAATCGTGGAGTTTTTAATTTTGTTTTCAATGAAAAAAATATTGCTAGTAGTCTGGCTGGTTATCTGTCCCACTCAGAAATCTCTTTACTGCAAAATTTGTGGAACATGCAGCAATTATAATCTGCGCCTTTTGGCTTCAGACCAACAGCATCCAGATAGTGCTGCTGCGCCGTAACGTGATGATGTGCTGGAACCATTAGGTTGTCCCGCTTCTCTGAATTGGCATTGCTGGAGGATATTTGACATCTATTTTATTATTTTTTCAATGTTCCAAATATTTGACCAGTCGTGATTTTGTCCATCCTCGGCATAATTATATCGTGCGTATTTAGCTGAGGACAGGGCCTCCCGCAGTTGTACGGCTGTAGGCACTGTGCATACCTTGAGATTTTCCATTAAGTAAAAAAAGAAAACAATAATTTTTGGATTACTTTATTATCCAACTCTCTTGACTATTAACAATACTGAGGAGAAAAAAATATCTTTTGTGTCAAACATCTTGTAGCGCACATCTGTGTGAGTTTGTGGGGGTGGGCACGCATAAGCCTAAATGTTATTGGTCAATTTACTTTTGTTTATTTGACGGCTTGACACTTTTTCTGTAAGCTAAAATTGAATGAGCGGAGTTTGATCCCTCCCATAGATCTAAGAGGTCGTTTGGATTCCGCCTGAGCTTTTTACCGGGTGTGCGGTTCTGGGAGGTTGCCGATTTATGAGCTTTTTGTTTGTGTGTGTGTGTGTGTGTGTGTGTGTGTGTGTGTGTGTGTGGTTTGGCGAACTGAAGACCTGACGGGTCACCCGCTTGAACAACCATTTAACCCACTAATGGTGCGTTTGCACTAAACACGTTAAAAAACGCCTCTGACGCTTCAAGTTCGGCGCGTTGCACTTTTGGTGCATTTACACCAAACGTGCTTTGATCGTCACACGTGTCTGGTTTACGCGCTCGAAGCTTTAAATGCTCAAAACAGTTCAAATGGCCCCGCGCTAAGCGCTCGAGACGCGCCGCAATTGTACGCAAACTGTACCCATTTGTAGACACATAGTTATTACTTTGACCAAGCTTCACTCATTGATATTTAACCATAAAGAATATGATGAAATAATGACAAAACCTTCATACGAACATGGTGTTTTAATACAGTGGATCTCTGTATTCAGCTGTTCTTGGGTTGGCTGCAGGCATTTATCCGCTTTTTACATTTTTCCAGACACCAGTTTTGAAAATGGAATAAACTTTATTCCTTCCTCTAAATGCTCTGGGTAAAGCATGCTTTGTGCATGTTCCCCCACAACTTTTAATAATTTTTTTCTGATTATTTTTCACCAAATCTGTATCACTGCAGCACATTTAATAGCCAGCAATCAGTAAATCTGTAGCTAGACCACTTCGCATGATGAACCCGACAGCTTTTACCTCCAAGTAAGGGGTGCTTACTTCGGGGCAAATTGCTACCAACCCATTGAGTTGATTGCCATTGTGTCAACTGAACAAGTGCATCCATCTGACATTCAAAGTGTGAAACAGAGGTGACGAAACACCTCTTGTCCCCCCCCCCCCCCCTTCAAAAATGAATCCGGCTGCTGTCTACAGGTGCATCCTCTCTCCATGTCCAGGTGAAGGCAAGGCAACTTTATTTAGAGAGCAGCTTCAGCCAGAGAATATTTAAAATGCTTATACAAAGAAGTTAAAGGAGCTTATTAAAGATTTTTGGTGCATAAAAACTGAAAGATGCTTCATTTCATTCTCAGAATGAGTAGGTTTGATTCAGATAATCTTAAAGGCCTTCATGGTTTTTAAGCTTTAGAGAAGATCAGCGATGTAATCTGGGCTTTTATTAGTAGGTGCTTTATAAGCCATTGATGAGATTTTAAATGCTATTCTTTGAGTAACAGGAAATCAGTGCAAGGACCTCAGAAGTGGACTGACATGCTGACCTCTTTTTGTTTTTGTAAGGCATTCTGAAGAAGCTGAAACTGCCTTGTGGATTTTTTGGGATTACAGTGAAAATAGTGCTGCAATAAACTGCTAAAAACAAAGACATGAACAAATTTGGCAATATTTTTTAGATGATAATATCGTGCCTTTGATGTGGTTGTTGTGGATCAGATCATGTTCCCTGACTGCTGCTAGACTCCTGGCTTAGTCAGAGCATTTTAAACCAACAGGTTGAAGGTGGGTGCTGATTTTTAACCTATGCTGTTTTTGTTTTTTGTTTATTTAGCTGAAGAAAATTTTGGCACATTCTCAATATATTTATGGAGTATTTGAACCTGTTTGCAATCTCTGGATGATAAACTAATGTACAGCTGTGTGCCATCAGCATAATTGTGATACTCTATCTTGTTGTACAATTTGAATGAGTGGAAACATATACGTATCGAAGAGGAGAGGACCAAGGATAGAACATTGGTGAACTCTGCAGATAATTTTATTCATTTTAAGTTTAAATGAATAAATCTAAAATGGTATGTCCATAGTTTCTTATGGACACACCAAAGGTTCTGTTGGACAGATAGAATTTAGGCCAGTTTTTTTTTGTTTCGCTTCAGGATTTCAGCTTCAGAGCTCTTCCTCTGGCTGCTGCACAGAAATTGGCTTTTAAATGGAGAGTTGGCGAGCCACGGTGCTGACTTATTGCTCTCTCTAAACAAGGTAAACTGCTACTACCTTGGAAAAAAAAACCTGGGTTGTTTTATTGATGTGCTGTGACACAGTGGCACCCGGCCCACTCAGAAGGGCCCTGGATCCATCTGTGTTTATTGGTGTGTGTTTGTCATTTTCACTCCAGGGCTGGATGGCTTCCTGCCTCCTAGATAACTACCTCTATGTCATAAAGGTGTGATTTGCTTTGCGCATGTGTGTGTGGTGAAAAGCTTGACAAACACGCACACATTCACATAAAGGAAAGCTCTGCAGCCATGTTTATGAAATGGCAAAGAAGTTCTATAAGAACAGAATAAATTAAAAAGTGAGAGAAGTGTTGAGATGGACCTTGAGCAGTTTCCTGCCCTGTTTGTCCCTTTTGCTCACCAATGGAAACACATCAGCTCATGTCTGAATAAACTGCTAATGATGAAATGAAGAAAGCTTTATTGCATGAAAATTCAAGCAAAGCTACACATTTTTTGTTTGCCTTGTCCATTAACAATTGTACAATGGTGAAGTAGAATTAGAATTGCAGCAAAAAGTAGTTCCACTTTTGAACACCACCCTTTTCAGTTTATTTGTAAAAACAAATTGAAAAGCTTATTTTGAATTATGTATCATTTTTTCTACTTGACAATTGTATTCCACTTTGTGTTTCTCTTATACATTAAATTCCAATGAAATATATTCATCTTTGTGGTTATGTGACAAAATATATAAAAGTTCAAGGGCTGTGAATACTTAAAACTGTATTTTAAGAAGTACTTGTAAAACACAGAGACAGCCACTAATATTAATTACTAATATTTTAACAGTTTAATAGGCTGTTTTTATCAATATATTCTGACACAACCAGCCCTTTGAGGATACTCATGATATTGATGGGGGCACGTGGGGGGCGTATGCTCTGTTTGGCCCAAAATGAAAATGAGTTTGTCCAATCGTCCCCAGGCTGTTGAGGTCATTGCTAATGTGCCTCCATGTTGGTATCATGTGGACGGGCCCATGATGAGACTGGCCTCATGTTTGAAGTGCTGATCCTGTTTCTTTCAGTGTCTGGCTGTTTGGGAGTCCTTCCTCCTCTCTCAGAGAGGCGAGTCAATGGAGCAGAGAAACGGAGCGGACGCCTCCTAAAGCTGAGGACCGAACCACTGGTGGAGACAGTGGGTTATTTACACAAGCAAACTTTTCATGTGAAATATTTTCTTTCTCTTTGAAAAAACACAACTCATCCTCCTCTTCATTCCGCAGAACCAAACACTAATTCCACACATATAGACAGCCAGAATTAAACACTCTACAGGCAACACTTTGCATTTTCATGTTGAATCACTTTCTATGATGTAATATGATGTTTGTGAATGAAGTGCAGACACATTTCCCACAGCTGCTCTATAATGACCTGTCTTATGTTTTCCTAAATGTGCAGCTAAAGCAAACCAGAGTGCTTTGTGGGATCCCATTTTAATCATTTTCATTCTGATTAAAATGGAGTGAAAAAGTCCAGTTGTGACATTAAACACTCATTCTTCCTAATTATGCAGCAATACTTCCTGCGTAGCAGCAGACAGTCATCCACGGGCCTGCTCTGTTTTTTAATGGCCTCACTAAAGCCAGATCAGCTGAATGGAAATGTGTGCTCTTGTTTGACTAAAAATAACTGGAAAATTAAATTCTTGTATATGCATTTCTTTTTTTAGATCAATACCTAAAGAGAGTGTAACACTACAGATTGTAATTTTAAAGACTGGAACTTTGAGAAACATTACTTCTGGAATTCTCATCAATCAGTGTCTTCTGCCACCATGGGTTTCTAATGTCTGCCATATTTTGCTGGTTGCAATTTAAAATTTACAAGCAAGATAACCTATTAGTAATCTATTTCTAATTAAAAAGCTTTGATTATGTTTTTTTTTTTTACTTATGAAAATTGTACTATTAAAGAGAAATGAATGAAAAAGTGCTGTTTTACCATGATAATAAAGATTGACATCAAAACTGTTTTGGCTTCTGTTTGCAAACTCCTGCAGCAAAAAGAAACCAAAGATGAGAAGTTGCCTTGCTTTGTCTTCAGGATACTTTTAGAACATGACTTTCATGTCTGCCCAGCAGTACCTTTTTGTCCAAGATGTCAAATCGTTTATTTCCTGACTTAACATGCAATGATTAGTTGTAACAATAGACTATATTTGAGAAATGTTTACGATGTAAAAACAACACAGGAAGAATACTGTAGGCTGTTTTGATTTTATAAATTTAAATAAAATATTGTCACACGGATGTCACCATGTTGTTGCGGCATCCATTTACCCAGAATGCTTCAGTGCATTCTGGGTAAATGACATATGCTAGGTCCCATTGTGCTAGCTCTGCCCAGACAAAACAGCAACCAGTAACATTAAGTCTTTTCAATTTGAAATCGATGGAAATGTAGAAATCACCTCAGAGGTCATGAGGATGAGGAGGATCACACAGAGGAAGAGGACAGCTGGCAGAAGAAGCTGGTGTTTGTGATGCTGCTGCCTTCAGCTTCGTAAATGAAACGGTGAATGATGCGTACCTCTGGTTGGACTGTGTGATCTGGTAGTTAATTCTGTAGCTCTGTGTCAGGTCTGGTCTTCGGTCTGTTAACATCTCTTTGAGGTCGGGTCTTTGGTCTGGTGTTGGGTCCGTGTTTTCAGTACTGGCGGCAGTAGCGAGGGTAACAACCACCTCTTAGATCCTTCTTCAATTTTGCTGAACAAATGACTTCAAGACTTCTGGAGGAAAATGTTGAGAGCACAAATTAGCGGTGCAGACTCATCTCATTATTTCTTTTAATTACAGCCAACTGCAATGCAGTGTGGCATTATCTAAATTTACACCAGTCAAATGCAATATGATTCAAGCAACTCAGATGAAGTTGGCCTTCTGTGTTTACTCTGTAGATTATAGTACAGAATGGACCCAGACATGTCATCAACCCAGCATGCATTGTGCAGGTGAAAAAATGGTGACCTTCATGAATTAAAAATTTTACAAAAGATAAAACATTTTCAAACTAATTATTACATTAATATGTCACAGTAAACACGTAAACAGCATTTTATAGTCAACAGGAAAATTACAACATATTTATCCCAATATGTTCAACTAATGGTGGATCCCTGTACAGCATATCTTCTCAGGTTGTTTTGTTTCCATTCCCGTGATCCTACTGTTCCTCAGCTGCTTCCAACAGCAACAACACATAAAGGTTGCAGGAGGCAGGACAGGATGTGGCTCTCATGGCTGTTTCTGCCCATTTTCCAACTTGAAGCTGCACCATCAAAGTAATGGTTCATGTGCTGTCAGGTATAACAAGAACCAGCTTTGTGTCTCAACAGAGGAAACTTTTTTGTGAAATGTAACATTCTTAAAGAACACAGTTCATTGATCATGTCTCAACAGTTTAAAGGTTTAATACTAAACTAGTTTACAAGCATGGAGCTTAAGGCAACAATTATACTTCAGTGCCACTTAATCAAGTTTATCTGCTGCTTGATGGACTGAATACATTTCTAATAAGACAGGAATGAATCATTGTTACTCAGGACTTGAAGTTCATTTGCATCCTGCCAGGATCAATTTCAGAAGTCATGAAAACAGGAGAGTAAATACTTTGCTGCTTTGGAAACATTGAATGTATCTATGAATGAAGGTCTTTGTCATGTTTTGATAGGTAATACAAACAAAGTGTTTTAAATTATGATTCCGTTCATTAGGGGAAGAAAGCTTTGAAAACCAACCTGGTCCTTTGTTAAAAAGTTCTTATTAATTTTCAAAGTAGCATTAATAAACCAATTTTTAGTTGACTTTTATCATTGTTCAATTCATACTGGTCCAGGTATTACTAGGCCAGTATGAATCTGCTTCACAACAGGAAGTAGGCTAAGAAATGTCCTGATCTAAAATAACCTTTACTGTTAACTCACTGTTAAAGCTGCAGTATGTAACTTTTATTTTAAAAAATACGTTTTTGTTGAAACTGTCTCTATTTTGAAACAGATAATCTGTGAAAAAGTTGAGCTCCTCCGCCTTCTCCCAGTTCTTACTAGAAACATCCGATCAGAGCCAGGAGGTGGGTCTTAACGCTGTCAATCACAATCCTCTGTGGTGCTGCTTACTCCCTGTACCCCCTTGCTCTCCTTTACCGCTACAGCTTTTCCCATGAGCAGATTCTGCAGAGAATGCTCAGGCTAGTTAGCATAGCCACCAGTGACAGCAGGTAACCATTTTTCCCTTAACAGTAAGTAGTTTCTTCACCATTAGCACATTCAGCAGTGAGTACATGAAGAGCAATAACAGCGATAAGCTCCTCCTCGTGGCTCTGATTGCTTGTTTTTGGTTAGAAGTGATACATTTCTCCAGACAGGAGCAGTAGCTCAGGCAGGAGATGGATCTTGTCACATATCATCTGTTTTATATCAAACTTTGACGGCGTAGATTTAACAAATATCTACAAAACATTTGTTATAAAAGATACATATTGCAGCTTTAAACACTGAGGGTTAAACACTGACAACTCTCATGCACACACACACTCAGCAGAACAAAATGTCAGAACAATGTCTGACTGAAAGGTCGTTGTTTCTAAATAATTAGGAATTGACTTAACATAATCTTCTTGCTGCAGCCAGAAGGATTATGTTGAATCATAACATAATCTTATGGCTCATAAGGTTATGTTCTGACTTATTAGTAATAACTTGCTAATTAGTTAGTTGTTACTAATGCAATTAGTTATTACATCTAGCAAGTCATTAACCAGCAAAGAGACATTTTATGTTCAATAAACCATATTTAATTATTTTATTTTTCTGCTCTCTATTTGTATGATGTTTTCATAATTTACTCCCTTAGTTGGATTCATTCTATATTGTGCAGGTGGGTTGGTTTCTCAGTGGGTGACTACCAGTACTGAGATTCCAGTTATGGGAATGTCGGGTATTTTCCTGCTTGTAGCTGCTGTTTGTACCAAAATACCAGCTGACCTGATACTATTTCAAGTGTTAAGAGGTATTAGAGGGTAACATTCAGGACAAATGACAATAAGACCAGAGTATCTGTTGTTTAAAAAGGAACGGGATCTTACAGACTTTAGCACAATTCTTACATCACATTTATTTATATCTGACTGTGCTATGTCTCACAGTAATGTAGCAGCTGTGATCGTCTTTACATTGATTGCATGTGATTCTTGTTTCAGTCTCCTTCCTGCAGCTATCAGCAGGCTTGTGTTCCTTCGCTCCATAGCTGCTCCCATGAATCCATGAATCCCTTCCACAGTGAGGAGAAATGAAAGGCTGTTAGGGTGAATAGGAGACTGATTACTTGCTGTCATGTCAGTAATCTGCCTCCTGAGGCTGCCAGCCTCTTACCGGGTGTTCTGCTTTCATCCCTCGGAGAGAATAACAAGGAGAAAAACAAAGTCAGGTTGTTGGAGTTGGTTGGTACGGGAAATAGGGAATTGGAGTTTTAGAAGTGTGAATCCCCACTTCCACAGCCTTTTTCCATTGCTCTGTCAGTTACAATGAAAGTGCCATCTGCAGGGGTTGAGGCTGATGGAACAGGTGGATATGACTGACAATGAGGCCGTCATATCCCATGACAAAGAGGCAGCTGTGGGATCTCTTTAATGAGGCAAATGTTGACTTTTTTTTATCAGATGAAGTCTGCAAGAGTTGCAGGGAAATAAGCAAATGTAGTATTTTCATTAAAAGCCATCTTTCTCTCAGAGGATGTAAACATGCTGGTAGTTCAGTCAGAGGGATTATCCACAGCTCTCAACATGGCTAAAAAATCCCTGTTAAGTTTGAGGCTGGTTTGAAGTCCTCAAACCAGCCTCAAACTGGTTTGAGGACCAGTTTGAGGCTGGCCCTCAAACTGGTCCTCAAACCAGGACCAGGCTGGTCCTCAAACCAGCCTGGTTTGAGGCTGGTTGTTGTCAGGTTGTTGAACGTTGTAACAACCTGACAAAGTTCTAGATGTTACCAGTGGAATGAAAATCTCTGGTATTCACGGTGGTGAATGTTGTTTTAATAGTTTAAACACCAAATATACAAATAGTGGAAACCATCTTAGCAGAAGCTAACATCCATATTGCCCTGTATGTAGAGTGCTGATTGGCTCTATATACATGGAAAACAAATTAGGCTTCTGGATTGGCTGCTTTGCTAATGCGAGACAGTAATTGTTCCTCAAGGCATTTTAGATTCCCAGCTGCTCTTTAGTTTTGAATATTTTTCACATGCTCCATATAAACAATCTGTGAAGAGGCTAATTTTGAGAGAACAGCACAGATCCACTGAATGATATTCTGCATGTTTTACTCTGTAGCTTCTAACACGTTACTGTCTCACAGACAAACATTTGGTTCAGGTTCATTATGTATTAACAATTCATAGTTAGGACCTCATTTCGATTTCTAGCTTTTAGTTTTTAACTCACCTGATATAATAATATGGTAGCAGAGTAAAAGGATGTCATTATTGTTATAATAGTATTCTCATTTAATGAGAGGTCAAAATAATGGAATAGCAGCTGATAGAGGTTGTTTTAAATTCTAATTATGCATAAAAAGTCAATAAATCTCAATATAAATACATTTCTTAAAGCATGACTTTTTTTCCCATCATTGAGCATGAAGCATGCATAATTTATAAGAGCAATGATGAGATTTATCTATGAAAACAGATTTATTCTAGCAATCACAATGTTCACCCAGTGGTTCGGGACAGACTGAACAACTGATGGAACTAATAAATTAACTTTTAATCAGGCAATCAGCAAAGTCCCTAAGCTACTTTTTAAAGGATTAGTCCATAGTCAGCAGTCAATCAAGTTTATCTGTACAATACATTTAAACAACAAGGCAGTTCAAAGTGTTTTCATCATAAAAACATAGACACACACAAAAAACCAAAGTCATAAAAGACACCATGCAGTCAACAATGAGAAAACCAGTAACAAACATTACAGT